AAAAAAAGCAGAAAAGCTCATTCTGAGTGGATATGTGCTGACGGAGTGCAGTGCATGCGTACAAAGCTCACCCCGGAGCTTGGGGTAGGAGATGATTGGAGATGGACAAATGTCAAGAGGGACAAGACTTTGCTCTGTGTAGTGGTGTGATTCACAGGTGCCCACACAGATTCCAGGACAGGTGGGTGCAGAAGCAGCTGTACACCCATTTATCCTACAACATGTACCAATACACATGGGCTAGATAGTGGGCAATGGGGGAACCTTGGTGTACCAGACAGATGCAGCTCATCCCTGGTGGTGCCCATCGCTGGCTGGGTAGACAGGGCTGCAGCCATCATTACAGGGCAAGACAGGGAGGGATGTAGGTAGAACCCCTAAGGTCTTCAGAGGAAGCACCCAGAAGAGGAGGATGAGGAAACATAATCCTCACAGGAAAAGCTGGGAGGTCTGGGCTGGGTGGTGGGGAGTGCTAGACTTAGGATGGGAGAGGGGAGGCATGCAGACTACCTGGCTGGGATTTGAATAACAGAAATAGACTAGTCTCCTTACCAGGTAGTTAACAAGGAGATAGAGGGGACTTTCAGGAACTCTCTTAGCTACCCAAAATGGTGAATAATGCAAAATCTCAGATGAGTGCCCATTCTTTCAGGCCTCTAGACCACTCATTCAAGTCTCTTCGAGGGTCAGTTTGTGGCATCCTAACACTCTCTACTCTTGGAGTTAACTGAAGAAGAGTGTGGAGACCCAGGTATGGACATCTGCTGAAAATTAGGAAGAATGTGATCTTCTGCTGAGTCCTTCCAAACTTCCAAGATTCCCATGTGAATCTCCCTTGTTCTCTGAGTCAGGCAGCAGAGCAATGGAAGTTGATACTCAGAGATTTTGAGGACATGAAGAATCACAGAGTCACCTAATTGGACCTTCTGACAAGCTGGTGCTTGGGGCCCTGAGACTGTGTCATACCTAGCAGGAGGCAAACCCATTCATGAAGGGAGGGCCTGAACTACACACAGCTAATTATAAGAAAGGCATAAAATGGACAGTCTGGGATGACAACAAAGGAAATTGATGTGAGGATTAATTTTCACTAGAGGATGAAGCTCAGGAAACCATCAAATTAATGATTCAGTTCATCTGGGCCCTATAAAAGGGGTCACTCTTTTCCCTATGTCAGAAGTTTCCTTGTCTTCTGAGATTTCGAGCTAGGACGTCTTCTTGCATCCTGAGAAAATGATGAGCCCACAGACCTGCAGGCCTTCCCAGAGTACCAAGGACTTCAGTGGCTGCTCTGCCATTGGCGCTTCTGGTCAGAGCCGCACCTCCCCCAGGTGCAAGTCAACCTCACGCTGTGGGGCAGGCAGCGCTGCCACGGCCTGTGCCATGATCTGCGGTACCTTTGGCAGCAAGAGCCTGCACAGCCTTGGCGGCAGCAAGAAGATCTCACTCAGTGTGGCTGGAGGAGCTTCCCGGGCTGCGAGCTCAGCACAGGGATGCTCTGGTGCCTTTGGAGGCAGCCTGTGCGGGCTTGGGCTCGGAGGAAGGGGTCACAGTGGGGGCTTTGGAGGAGGCTCCTTCGGTGCTGGAGGGAGAGCTGGAGGCTTTGTGGGCTCAGGGTGCTCTCCCCTGGGCATCCAGGAGGTGACCATCAACCAGAGCTTACTGCAGCCCCTGAACATGGGGATTGACCCCCGGATTGGGGAGGTGAAGACCCAAGAGAAGGAGCAGATCAAGACCCTCAACAACAAGTTTGCTTCCTTCATTGACAAGGTGAGGCGTGTAGCTGTTGGGGCCTCTGGATAGGTAGGGGAGCCTATGCCTGTGAAAGTCTCTTGGGCCTGGGGATACAGGGGAGCCTGGGGACGTGGAAGGCAGGTCCACTCATGAGTGAGATGTCGGGCAGGCTGTGACCTCTCCCGCATGGTTGATGACAGGTGCGGTTCCTGGAGCAGCAGAACAAGGTGCTGGAGACCAAGTGGTGCCTCCTGCAGGAGCAGACGGCTGCTTCCAAAGCCAGTGCTAATGACCTGCAGCCCTTCTTTGAGTCTTACATTGGCTGCCTCCAGGCCCAGCTGAGCAAGCTGCAGGCTGAGTGGAGCCGGCTGGATGGGGAGTTGTGCATGATGCAGGCGGTCATGGAGGAGTACAAGAAGAAGTGAGTGATGAAGATGCTAGGGCGGTGGGGAGCAGTCACTGGGTCTAGGTGATCCTGGTGTAAGGCTGGGAGTATGTGGGTTTTCCATCTGGGAAATTGCCAGTGCATGTTCTGAAGGCCTCTGGGGCTAGAGGCCACTAGATGAGGTGTCAGAATGTGGAATCCGATGGAAGAAATATCCACTCTTTTGATGATTTGTGTTGCTGCTAAGAAGAGAGAATGAGGTGTATGTCATGGAGGTGGGCATCTACTGGGCTCCACGTGAAACAGATGCTAGTGCCCCAGCACTGGGTCTAACAGCAGTGGAATGGACATTTTCTGCTTATAGAATCACTTTGGGTGCTTTAAAAATCCCAGATGTCCAGGTTGCACTCGTGGCCAAGTCAATCAGAATCTCTGGGTTTGTGGACAAGACATTGGCATTTTCTACAGATCACAGATGATTCCAGTGTACAGCCAAGGTGAAGGATCCTTTTAAGAAAGCAGACTGTGGCTGGGAGGAAGAAGACTCATGAGTAACTAAAATAGGGTAGAATCCTATCTTTGTCAAATAGAGTGTTGGGATATGCAGTGAGCACGCAGATGGAGGAGGGAGAAGCAGACGCAGAAAGGAGGAGATGGGTGCTTTCTGAGCAGATAGAAGAAGAAAGCAGTTTTCAGAGTGGTCATAGGATATGAGGGGTAGGGTGGTCCTCAGCCATAGATACAACTTGTATGCATGTGCTCCTTAGAGGGCCCCAGACACCGAGATTATGCCTCAGTTCCATCATGTGCTTTATCTCCTTGCTACCAATATTATGGAGAGTTTGAAATGGGGTACCAGGGTCCATTTAAAGGCCCTACTGTTCTAATGATGCATGCCACTCAACTGGCTTTATCTTGGCATCAAGCAGATAATGTTTACCAACAGCCCTGTTTTGGGTAAGCCTCTAGCTACTGGGATAAACTCTTTCTCCTGTGTGTGAACCTACTCGAGGCTCAGCTGTGTTCTGAGCAAGACTGTCTTCCTCCTTGTAGGTATGAGGATGAGTTTAACAAGCGTTCAGAGGCTGAGAATAAATTCATGGTTCTGAAGAAGGTAAGCAGGGGAGCGAGCTATGAGGGGAGCAGATGGAGCAAGGATTAGGTGCTGTGAGGACAACTTCTCATAAGCATGAAGTGAGTAGGGCTGTAGATACCTTTTACAGAGCAGGATTTCCAAGTGCTGGGCTGCTATTACTGTGGCTCAAACCCAGGACACAGCCAGTCTCTTCACTGAATCATCGGCCTGAAGGCTTTTTTCCTGTCACTAAATATGCTTGGCTCCCAGTTACAGAATTGCTTTTATAGAAGAGGACTGACTGGCATAGGAGTTGGCAGGAGACTGAGAAAGAGGGGATAAATTATGTATACTGCATTGAAACAGATGAGAGAGAGAACTGTTTAAAAGTGATGTATGGTTAGGTATTATTGTCGTGACAGGAGTCCAGAATGAAGGCTTCATAGTGGAGTGGACTTGGAGGGAGGGATTGTATAACAATAAAAGAATTTTTCTTTTACTTTTCAAAGAGAAGAGCGAACTGAGGGGGAGGGGTGGGCAGGGAAAAAAGTGCAACAATGAATAAATAGAAATCCAAAGTCTATGTAAACTTTCATTAAAATTAATTAAAAAATTGCTTTCAATCTTCAGAACACCAGTTTTAAGCAGTAAAAAGTAGTTTGTAACTACCACTATAATCATGCACATTAGAAAAACTGTAATAACAAACATTTTCTAATACAAGTCCAATGGTTAAATTTGCTTTCCTTACTGTGAGTATAATGTTCAGTTTAAGTTATTATCACTCTGATTGGTGTAAACCTGTATCAGTATTATTAAATACACTTATAACGACTTATTGAGGCTAGTAACACTGGTTTCCTGTAAGGCTGGTTTCCGGTCATTTGGTTTCAGGATGTGGATACTGCTTACGTGGCCAAAGTGAACCTAGAAACCCAAGTGGAGTGCCAGACTGATGAGGTCAACTTCCTGAGAGCTGTCTACGAAGCTGTAAGGACCTTTCTCTCTTCCTCTTGGTGGAAGGCCCAATACCAGAGTGTGGGATGTTTGACTCTGGGGATCCAGTTTCTTTGTGAATTCTGTCTGGCAGCAAACATATGCAACATATCCCATCTTTATCCACATCCCTTTTTCATTTCTCCCATTTTACCTTCTTCTTTACCTTGACCACAGTTTCTGAATAATGTAAATAGTTACAGTGCTTGGCTACTAACTTAAAGATTGATAGTTCTAGTCTACCTAGATGTGCCTCAGAAGAAAAGATCTAGAGATCTACTTCTGAAAGCATGAGCTACTAAACTGTGTGGAGCCCAGTGTCTGCTCTGACACATGTGGGGTTGCCATGACTCAGAGATGCCTCTTGGTATCTGCTTTTACCACTCATGCCATATTGCCCACCTTCTCCCTCTCTTCTTTCCAAAGCTTAGGACAGCCAACATCTAATATTTATGCTTTTAGAATTTTGATGCACAGAGTTCCAGTGGAATCTTGGAGAAGGGAGTAGCCCTTTGGTGCATATTGAAGAGTGTCCTGTTACCAGCTTTCTCGCCTCCTTCCCCTTCAGCACGCTTTGGTCTCCTAGGGCCTACTAGGCACCCATACATCCACACGGAGATTGAAGCTACCACCCACTGAATCAGGAGATGGTAGGGTTCATACATTCCAGAGAAGTATTGATAACCACCTCATGGTGCTCCCTCTGTGTGTGTAGGAGTACAACCAACTTCTATCGAAATCCATTGACACTTCTGTGATCCTGTCCATGGACAACAATCGCCACCTGGACCTGGGCAACATCATCGCTGAGGTCAAAGCTCAATATGAAGAAATAGCTGAGAAGAGTAAGGCAGAAGCCCAGGCCCTGTACACAACCAAGGTAAATAAAGGTCACAACATCAGCCTGGACCCCATAGCCTTATCCGAACTCCTGCACCTTCACTTCCAATTCAATTTGGCACCATCCCAGAGAATAAAATGGAAACCCTACTGAAATACCTTTCACAAATTCCCATAGCTGGAGGGCTCTGTGTAATGTTTTTGCATCTACTGCCTGGTATCTTTAAGAGGAACTGTGGACTTCAGTTCAGTGATCCTCTTCATTCCAAATGCCTGGTGAACTTCAGTATGACTTTAGAGTGTTTTAGACCAATTATACTCATATCCCCTCCCTATCCCCAAAATACACACAGATAAGTCTCACAAATAATTTCTCCTTATTTGCTTCCCACCCTCACTTCAGCTTGGAGAGTTGCAGACTACAGCCGGCAAGCATGGTGATGATTTAAGGAGCCTCAAGAATGAGATTGTTGAGCTCAACAGAATAATCCAGAGACTGAGGGCAGAGATTGAAAGTGTCAACAAGCAAGTAGGTTCAGTTCACTCAAAGTCTGGGATAGTAGCTGATGTCAGTCACATTATGGAGTGCCAGCAGGCTGCCCAGACTCCAGGCTGGGTGATCTGTCATACTCCTGGTTGGAACTTTCGGCCATGGGACTAAACAAAGGCTTTAGTATCTTTCCTTCCACCCACCATATATATTCAAGGTGAAATGATCTCCCCTCAACCCAGAGGGAATGACCTCAAAATTCTGTAAAATATTTGGGACTGAGGGAACTCTATTGGTGTAAGTGTTAGCAAGTTGCGCTGCCAACCCAAAGGCTGTGTGTAAGTCCACAAGTGACACCATGGGAGAAAGATGGGTGATCTCTTCTGGTTATAATTTACAACCTTGGAAGCCTGACAAAGGGCCTCTATACATCAGAACAGTGCCAAGGAGGCTAGTGATTTTCTGGGATTTCAGACCACAGATTACATACACTTCTGCTAAAGATTGGAAAGCAGCTACTCATTATCACAATTCAAATGACCATTGGGATACGCCAGAATGGTTAAACTACAAGGAAATGAATGATAAAGGTCGAAGGGGTTAATATGTCCGATCACAGTACACAAGTTAGAGCTTTAAGTTAGAGACAAATGGGGACTTCTGGTTACTTGCCATATGCACAGATGTGTCCAGGGACTCAACACGCTGCCTCTTTCTCCTCTTGCCTTAGAATGCCAGCCTGCAGGAAGCAATCACTGATGCTGAGCGGCGGGGTGAGCTGACACTCAAAGATGCTCAGAACAAGTTGGCAGAACTCAAAGAGGCTCTGCAACAGGCCAAGGAGAATCTGGCCCATCTCTTGCGTGACTACCAAGACCTGATGAACATCAAGCTGGCTTTGGATGTGGAAATTGCTACCTATCAAAAGATGCTGGAAGGAGAGGAGTGCAGGTGGGCAGGAACTCTGGCCAATACAAGGAATTAAAGTTGAGAACCAAGCATCACGGGATTATATGGCTCTCGTTTGACTCACTTTTCACAATGGTTTTTTTGATCCCTGGCTTTATTTCCTCCAGGCTCTAGAACACTGAAGCAGGGTAATAGGTGACAAATACTGAGCTGTGCTGCTCATAATTATTCATCTAAGTTCAAAACCCCCCAATTTTATAATATTTGTTAAAGCAGAATACTTAGAGATTCTTATCAAGCATATGGCACATTCCAAGAACAGATGCCAGTCAATCCCGGCAAGGTGGAGAATACAAAGGTGGGTCCTAGGAGGTCATTGACCTTAAAAGGTGGAAGGAGACAATTTTGTGAGTAAACTCAATTTATCTGACGTCCAACTCTTTCATCTATAAGAATTCAAAATAGGAGGCTAGATATCCAGTCTAGCTTGCCCAACTATTCGTTGGATTTTACCAGGTAGACCTGTCTGTTCCTAAAGTCTATGTTAAAGCTTCCCCTCCTCTCTGAACCAGTCATTTTTTCCTTGTCTTTCTATCTCTGTTAATGACATCACTGCCTAGTGGGAGACTGTACAATTAGGTGACGTTTCTAGACAGAAAAGGGATTCTGAGAGTATTGTCCATAGGTCCATAAAAAATGACACAGGTATTACCTATGTGATTACAGTATGGGTCAGACATATATAAGCCCTATTCTTGGCTTTGTTTACTTTTCACAATAAACAGATGAGGAGATGCATTATCCGAGTTTTACTACTGAGGTACCAAGATATTCAGAGACAGAGCCATGTACCTGAGATATAACTATATTCTTTACATTTTTATCCTAGCATCCCAAGTAAGCACCTTATCATGCATAACAGCTGATGTTATGGCTCCTATCAATGTCATCTGGCATCCTAGTGGCTAATTATGGCAAGATGGTATACCAGCTGGATCATTTCACCATGATATTTCCCTAATACTTATTTTGTTTTCCTAAACAGGATGTCTGGGGAGTGTCAGAATCAAGTGTGTATCTGTGAGTATCTTATAAAATAATGTTCTGTTGGTTCAGATGATTTCTCACAGGTTTTCATCAGCTCATCTAGCCAGAAATTATTATTATTATTATTATTATTATTATTATTATTTTATCTTACCCAGAGTAATTAAAAAAGAGGAGCACACGGGGCTGACACATAAGCCTTATTTGGGTAGAACGTCATGGATGTCTTGCTAGTTTGTGCCTTGGGTCCTTTATCAGATAGCTTTCTATCTAAGAGTCACTTCTCCATCTCTCTTTGGCGTTTTCTTAATTCCTTGGTCAGGGAGCATGAGTGGCCATGTTTCTCTGGTGGCTTGAATCCACCAACAGGCTCCAAGGGAGAGCTATGGCAACCCAATGGAGGGCCAGCTGTGAGTTGGTCTTGACTTTATGGCAATGAGTTTGGTTTTTATTCCTAGGACAGGGATTAACTTTTAATGGGAATTTTGACAGAATGTGACTGAAAAACTTACTCTCTTTGCAGCCACGATCAAGCACACTTTCAGCAGCAAGAACATCAGTGCTGGGGGCAGCAGCCTCAAAGGGAAGGGCAACAGAGGCCAAAACACCCGAGGGGCCAGTGCGTCCATAACTGCTGGGAAGAGCATCCAGTCTGGAAGCATCTCCATGAGTCAGAGGACCAGAGTCGGCAGTTCTTTGCCCCCGTCCTCGGCCGGGGCTGTGCAGACCACCACCACTAATAACCAGCGCTCCTGCATCAAGTACTGAGACTGAGACCTGCTCCTCAGCTGCAGAAACTCCTTTTGCTCTTCGTCACATCTTTTTTGCAATGGTTCTTCTCTCCCCAAAGTTGGTGGCAGAATCCCTTAGGCATCTTCAAGTCAAGAAAGCACTCAGATGGATGTTGTTGTATTTGGAATAGAACCCATGCCTTTTATTGCCTTTACATTTTCTTGTACATTAATTCTGCTTTGCCTCTCTTTAGTTCACTCTTTTCTTCCTAAATTACAATATATTGTAACACTGCATCTTAGCGTTATGAGTTCTGTAGAACACGATGAATCAGAGGACAGCACACCAAATGGAGCCCTCTGCAAGGGATGGGAGCAGTTGTGCATGGAATGCATGAAAGAGGTGGAGCAGAAGGGGATGCTAAGAGAATCTTGGGCACTAAGCAAATGGTATCAAGGTGTCCATACAATCTGCGAGCTACCATGATCTGGTTCACCTTTTGGGGATCAATTCCAGGGCAGGCCGTACTCTGGGGCTGTGCTCCTCTCATACTGGCATCGGTGGTCCTTGTCAAGAGAGCCTCTTTGTGGCAGCCGACTGACTAGCTGAATTGCTCAGCTTGAGTCTCTTCAGGGGGTAGCTCTTCCTAACCTCTCCCTTTGGCATTTTGGACCAGGCTGGGAGAATGGGTTAAAACTCTTCTCCTGTACTCACATTCTTTTTTATTAAGAATAGCCACTCCTCTTGCAGGAGCTCTGGTGGCCTAGTGGTAGGAAGCTACACTGCAATACCAAAGACATGTGGTTTGAATCCACCAGCTGCTCCATAGGAGAAGGATTGGCAGTCTCCTCCTGCGTGATTTACTGCTTCTGAAAACTCACTGGAGGGTCAGCTACAGGTCAGTTGTGATTCAATGACATATGACAAGAACAACAATAACTCCTCTCTTCAGCAAGAGTTTGTCTATAGACCTCAACCTCCATTCCCTGCATCTTTCTGTCTCAATGTTCTGGGACACCATTGAATGAAGCAAAGACTGATATAGTAGTTAAAAGACACTATGCTGAACAAGCACACAGAACTCATTCAATCCTCATGAATTTCTTAGGTATATAGTTCACTTCATTTTATAGATGAAGAAGAGGATGCATAGAGAGATAAAGTGACTTGACAATATCTCATTGTTAGCAAATGATAGCCAGGGTATAAACATGTCATGTATAATGTATTACGCTGCTAACTAAAAGATCAATTGTTTGAATCCACCAGCCCCACCTTGAAAGATAGGAAGTCTCCTCCTGCAAAGATACTTTCCACCTGTAAAGAAACTATTTGGAAGGCTTCTCCATGAGTTCTAGTTGATTCTTTGACAGAAAGTTTGGTTGGGTTTTAGTTGAGACCTAGTACTTGCAACCTTATACTTATAATCTCAATCCTATCCTATTAAGGCACAAGAAGTTTGTTTCTTTATGACAGTGTTGGAATGGAAGAGTGTCTCCTCTGGTCTTTGTTGGCAGACACTTTATTCAGATGAAATCTGGTTGTTAAGTTGTTTGGTCAATCACTGAAACCTACCAGCTGTTGTTAGGAATAAAGATGTGACAATCTGCTTCTGTAAAGATTTATAGCTTTGGTGACTGAAACATTTCACTCAGCATGATGTAATCCAGGGTCCTCCATGCTCCGTAGTGCTTTATAAGTTCATTGTTTTTCAGTGCTGCACAGTATTCCATTGTATGAATATATTGGAGTTTTTCTATCCATTCATTTGTTGGTGGGCACTTGAGTTACTTCCATCTCTTTGCTATTATAAATAAAGGACAAATACTGCATATAGCATCACTATAAAGCAGGTCTGACATGGTGGGTTGGGAGGAGAATAGGATGAGTGAATAGATACTGATCATTGCACTGGAACAGATGAAAGAAAGATCTAAAAGGAATATATGATTAGGCATTATACATACAATAGCAGCCCAGAATAAGAGATATTGCAAAGAGGACTGGGGGGGGGTAGGTAATTGTGCAACGGTGAATGAATAATAAAAAAGGTGAATTAGGGGAGGGAGAGGGAGTAAAATGTGCAGCGATGAATGAATGAAAATTTAACTTCTCTGTAAACATTCGTTAAAATCACACTTAAAATAACATTTTATTAAAAAAAGGATTTCTAGCTTTAGAAACCCTATGGAGCAGTTAAATTTTATAAAGTTGTTATGAGTTCGAAGCTCCTTGATAGCAATAGACTTGAACTTTTCGGCTTGTTTTGAGACTTCATACCTAGTTTCCTCGAGAAAAGTATTGGCCACCAAGAGAACAAAGAATTCTGTTCTGTTCTGTTCTGTTCTGTAGAGGGTGAAGCCAACTTGCTCTCTGGAGGCAAGGATTTTGAAGCTCTATCTCACATACTTTGGGCATGCTGCCAAGGTGGACCAGTTCTTGGAGAAGAACATCATGCTTGGAAGAGTAGGACAAAGCAGGAGAGGAAGACTTTGGATGAGATGGATTGACATAGTGACTAGAGTAATAAGGCCAGTTGTGTTGGATAGTGTGAGAATGGCTCAGGATAGGACAGAGTTCAGAGCTATTGTGCATATAGTCTCTGTGAGACACAGGTGACTCCATGGTACCACCACCACCACCATGACAACAACCTGTTTGGATAGTGTTACTCTGTTCGTGATGCTGAATCCAAGTCTTTTCTTTCAGAAAGCTGTCACTCATCATTGCTCCCTTAAAACTCACTTTTCTTAATTAGCTCCAATATTTACATTTGGGCTCATAGACTTCCTATCAAAGAAGAAGTAAAAAAAATTCTTGAAAGCATGATTTAAAAATAGGTGCAGATTTTGTCCACTTTGTTAATTTCTTTTATACTTAAGACAAAAAATAAGCTAAAGCAACCCATCAATTTGTCTCCCTTGAATGCATCTAACCAGAGGTAATGGATGACTTAAAATATTAGCTTTAATTAATTAAGTAATTAAGTAATATAGTAATAAAAAGATATCTGTCTTTCAGGGATGTTTCAAGGAATACTTGAAAGGATAAATATAAAAAGCTTTTGCTAAAAGGAAAGATGTTCATCTAGATACTGTGCAACATGTATGCAAATTCTGATTAGCCATTAGATTAAAAGCTCTTTAAAGGGAGATTATGCCGTATATAGTTTATGTTACACAATAGTGGACAGAAAATGTGCACTCAATAAGCACTTCTTGACTGATGGATTGATGAAATGATATAAGGTATGCTAGAGTTTGGCACAGTTCCTAGAACCAGGTAAGTACTCAATAAATGGAGATATTACTATGATTATTTACAAGGTTCCCCATAGTTTGTGAGGAGTAAGACTCTCAAGGCTAAAATTTACAGCAGAAGCAAAGGAGCTCCCACTTAGGTACTTGAGACTTCTCTAAAACACTATTCACAAGTCATAGTACCCCCTCCTCTCCTATGTTGAGTAACTTTCTCTTTCACAGACAACAATTCCTTCTTTCAATGAATCTTCCATTTAGAAAGTTTTCCTTTATATTAATCTGAGTCATTCACTGGAAATCACACTCACTGGTCCATCTTTTTCTCTGTGTGACTATAGGGAAGAGGACCAAACCATCTTGTATATGAGTTGACAATTCTTTGTAGATAATGGTTCCCTTTATTTTTTTTTTTTCTTCTAGGGAAATTCCTTTATTTCCTCTGGTCTTTGAGATGCCCCTTGATACCTGATACTTTCTCATAGACATTTTCTGGGTTCCTAGGGCCCACCCCAACTCTCTAGGTAAGACTAGACTAGCCCAGGAAAGGGGTGGAAAAGATACTTTTCTTTTTTTAAACATTTTTTTCTTTTATTGGGAAAACATATTGGGGGTACAAGGAGGTGAGGGTTAGGGGCAGAAGGGTGAGGATGGGCCAGGATGCAGTTGCAGAGCTGCACAGTTTGGTTGGTGGGGGGAGCAGGTGAAGGAAATGATGAGGGTCCAGTGGGGATCAGATGCTACAGAGGAATGACAAGCATTTTCCTATGGTAATTAACCCAAATGTCTTATTGATTTGGGAATCGGATGCCGACTCTGGCTTCTTCATGTTGAACAGGGGCATAGATGTAAAGGGGGGGAGGGAGGATGCTTTATCTTCTTACTGGTGGTCTTGGGTTAAAGCTGCTCACCTTCTTGCTCTGTTAGAAGATATTTTCCTGTCATTTGCTCCCCTCTGGACTGCAAAATGTTTTCCCAGGTGGGTCCAGTAGGGATGGCTGGTTGAACCCAGAGGCTCCATTCTCCTTTGCTTCCTTAGCTGTCAGTTGTATTTCCTTTTGTCACTGGCATTGGGGTCAGGGTCAATTCTGGAGTAAAACTCAGTGTTAAGGTTACCTATAGGAAAGGGAGCAAACCTAGAGAGAACAAACTTGTGAGTTATAAATAGAAGGGCTATGAGGTGTTGCTTTCAGGTTTACTGGGGGGGGGGGAAGGGTGGCAGAAGGTGGCCTAGTTAATATTCTCTGGATACCCTAGACATTCTTTTTTTCCCCCCACCCAGGGGTCAGATGACACAATCTGGGGACTGAGGAGCTCACCCTGAGGGCCACGACGGCTCGCCCTGAGCCCGAGGCCGAGGGCAGCCCATTCCGAGCAGGGCAACAGCTCCCAGGAGCTGGCTGGTATACTCCCCCTCCAATTGCCCCTGCCCCAGTCTGGTCCCCTCGCCTGACTGAGGACTCTGTAGTCAGGGATAGTGTCTCCAATTCCAGCACTGCCACTTTTACCCCCCCATAAGTGGTCATACTATATTTTGAAGTAGGTGTCACTGCCCTCCCCCTTTATATATGATAAAGGGAACCTGAGAATTGTGAACAGACTCCCCCCAGGTCTAACCATCTTTTGGCAGAAGCATTCAACAGAACAAAATATGTGGTGCATTTAGGATGTCGGTCCTCTTGTGCATGCTGCCACTGTTAAGGTCATCAGACTCACAGTGACTTTCAGCAATCCATTGTATAGGTAATCGTCTTCTTTGACCTGTCTAAGGAAACCCAA